GGAGGACCTCTTCGAGGCCTCTTGGGCTGTCTTGGAGGCCGCTTGGAGGCCTTCGGGGCCGTCTTGGAGGCATCCTGGACTCTCTTGGGCCGTCTTCGAGGCCATCTTGGACCATCTTGGGCGTTGAAGGCCATCTTGGGCCATCTTGGAGCCGTCTGAAGCCGAAAAATCTTTTGCGGCCACCTTTTGCGCACCCTTCCGGGTGGCCGGCGGGACAGGCCGAAGCCCCAGGGGGGTTCTTTGTGGGAAACAACCAAAACCAAATTAGAAAGGATTCAGCATGCCGGGCACCTCTGTGGCAAGCCAACAGGGGGCGGCGGATCGAAGACGCCTACGGCGAATCACCGCCGCCCCCTGCCTTTTTGGAAGCGCCTATGTGGCCGAAGGTTGTGGCCAGAGGCCTGCCAAGCTATCGGACCATGTGTTCCCCGAATCGGTTTGGAAAGCCTTCGGGGAGCACGTGGGCATCTTGATGGTCCTCTTGGCCGCCTGGAGGCCATTTTGACCCTTTCGGGCCTTCTTGGAGGACGTCTTGGAGAGCTCTTGGGCCGTCTTGGAGACCATCTTAAGCGTCTTGGAGGCCTCTTGGGCCGTCTTGGGGACCTCTTGGGGTCGTCTTGGGCCTCTTGGGCAATCTTTGGGGGCACTTGGGTCGTCTCGGGCCGTCGGAAGGCCGAACAAAAAGCAAATGCCACAATCCTTCAAAAACTCACGGGAAAACAATAATTTATACCTTTCCGGGCCTTCCTGGAGGCCCTCTTGGAGGCCTCTTGGGCCGTCTTGGGCCATCTTAGTGCCATCTTCGGCCGTCTTGGTGGGCCCCTGGCCCGTCCGACGCCGTCGAACGCCGTTTGGGGGGCCTTTCTCAGCCGCATGGGGGCCATCTTGGAGTGCTCCAGGGCTGTATTGGAGGCCATCTTGGGCGTCTTAAAAGGCCTCCTCGGCCGTCTTGGGGGCCTCTTAGGGGCCGTTTTGGGGGCCTCTTGGGCCGTTCTGGGGCCATCTTGGAGGCCTCTTGGGCGATCTTTGGGCAATCTTTGGGGGCTCTTGGGCCGTATCGGGCCGTCGGAAGGCCGAAAAGAAGCAAAGGTCAAAATCCTTCAAAAACCAAAGGGAAATACGTGTTTGGGGCATTTTCTGACCTTCTGGAGGCCTCTTGGGCCGTCTTGGGCCAGCTTCGAGCCGACTTCGGCTATCTTGGTGGGCTCCTGGCCCGTCTGACGCCGTCGGAAGCCGTTCGGGGAGCCTCTCTGGGCCGACTTGGGGGGGCCCTCTTGGGGTGCTTCGGCGCCGTCTTAGAGGCCATCTTGGGCGTCTTGGAGGCCTCTTGGGTCGTCTTTGTGCCCTCTTGGGGTCGTCTTGGGGGCCTCTTGGGCAGTCCTGAGGCCATCTTGGAGGCCTCTTGGGCGCTGTGGGGCGATCTTGGAGGCCTCTTGGGCCGTCTTGGGTCGTCGAAAAGCCGAGAAGAAGCGAATGCAGAAAATCAATGAGTTTGGCCTCTTCGGGCCTTCCTGGAGGACCTCTTGGAGGCCTCTTGGGCCGTCTTGGAGGCCTCTTCGGGGCCTTTTGGGCCGTGTTGGGCCAGCTTGAGGCCATCTTAGGCCGTCTTGGGTGCATCTTGGGCCGTCTTGGAGGCATCTTGGGGCCATCTTAGCGTCTTGGAGGCCGTCTTGGAAGCATCTTGGAAGCCATCTGGGGCCATCTTGAAGCCGTCTGGGGCGGGAAAACCCACGGCAACCACCTCCGGAAGAGGCTGGAAGAGCCTCCCGGGACCCCGGCGGGACGCGCCGAAGGCCCAGGGGGAGTTGTTTTGGAAAAAGAACCAAAACCAAAACCAAGAGGGTCCAGCACGCAAGGCACCCCTGCGATGAATCGACAGGGGGCGGCGGATCTAATGTCTAATGGCCTTCAGCCCATCCCTCCACCGTGCCTGAGTTGTGTGTATTCGCTGTGGTCTCGTGAGAGGCTTCTCGGGGGCCTCTCGGAGGCAGTTTGCACGCCTCTCGGGGACCGTTTGGGGGACTCTTGGGGCCTCTTTTGCGCCTCTTGGGGGCCTCCTGGAAGCAAGCCTCTTGGGGCGGAAGACTTGGATTTTCGAGTATTGTTCCATCTGGGCGTCTTGGGGCCCTCTTCGGCCGTTTTGGGTGCTTCTTGAGCTGTCTCGGAGCCCTCTTGGGCCGTTTGGGGGCCTTCTTGGAGGCCTCTTGGGGCGGTCGTGGGGGCCTCCTAGGGCCGTCTGGGAGCGTCGGGGAGCCGAAAAGGCGAAAACGCCAAAATCCCCCCCCCCCCCCAAAAAAAATGACAATCAATGATTATGGCCTCTTGGGGAGCCTCGTGGGGGCCTCTTTGGGCGTCTTCGAAGCCTCCGGGGCCGTGTGGGGGGCATCTTGAGCGTCCTTGGGCGATCGTTCGGCGACTCGGGGCGTCCTTGGGCCGTCTTGGGGGCGTCTTGGGGCCCCCTTGGCCCGTCTTGGGGCCCGAACAAGTCATGCGGGGAGAAAAGCCCAGGGGAACCGCGGCAATCCCCGAGAGATTTGGCAATTTGGGCTCTGGGGCCCTTGAAGACTCGTCCGGACTGAGAACTGAGGCTCTGGGTGGGGATTGGGAACAGGACTTGAGGACACGCCCACTCCGTGCCCAGAGGCACGGTGGCGGATTCCTAGCAAACCGGGGGAGGCTGTGGCGCGCCGTGCCCACGTCACCAACAGAGTTGCACGCGGCGGTGCTCAAGGGTGCCAGCCGTTGGGCAGTGCTGCGGGGCGACGACGCCATGGCCATGCGCGCGCTGCGGTGCGAGGGCACGCGCGCTCACGGCGAAAACCATTGTGGCCGCATCGAACTGCGCCTGCCTTGAAGTTCGGGGTGACTGGTCACCATTCCCAGTCGGGCCCCCTCAGATGGGCCCCTGACGACTATGGCTACGGCGAAGAACCACAACCAGAGCGCAGGCCAAGAGCGTCGGAGGGTGCGGCGTCGCGGAGTCAAGTGTTTTGCGGCTGCGCGCAGCGACGTTGGCTCGCATCGCGCCGCCGTGCGCGGCCGCCGCGCGCCTGAAAAGTCGATCGGCAGTTTGAAAGGAAGCGCGCCAGAAGGCGGCGGCCAACGACAACGGGTCAGCTGCTGACGAGGCAACGGACACCACGTGTCACAACCAGCAGGAATAGCGCGGGTTGCTGGTGCGCACCAGGTGCGGCGCGTACCATGCTGGGCACGCGAGCTCTGAAGGAAGGTTTGGTCCCAGCGCAGGCGGAGGAGGAAGAGCAGGAGCAGGAGTAAGAGCAGCGGGAGGAGCAGGATGACCACGAGAGGGCGGAGAAGGGGAAAGGGATGGGGCGACAACGACGTGGCAGGATTCGAATCCAGAATTGAAGCCCGCGCTGAGGCGAGAGCGCAATTCTGAACGACAGGAACAAAGCGTCGATCGTAAAGTGAGGTCAACGCTGAAGCCTGAGCACCATTATGAAATTTCGAAACTTTCTCCGAAAATAAAGTTAATAGTAAAACATGTCGAGATCTGATACAGAGAAACATATGCGGGGAAACAATATTGTCCCGCTCGGGCTGGATCCAGGGAGAGAGGCGAAGTTTATGTGTCTGCTTGCGGCAAATCCCGCCACCGTGTCAGCCAAGCATTCTGGGTGGCGACTGCTCGATGAGGCACGGGGGCTATCACATGTGGCACCTCGTGTCTCCATGGTTGGGTGAGCCGAGATGGTGATGAGGAGGAGGAGGAGGAGAAGGATGAGGATGATGGTGATAAAGATGGTGATGGAGATGGTGATTACGATGACGATGATGATGAGAAGGTGGAGGTGGGGGAGCAGGAGGAGGAGGAGGAGGGTGACGAAGAGGAAGACGTCTGGGCCGCGTTGGTGCTGCCTTGGCCTCCCATGAGGCAGTCCTGGGGGTCCTGTGGGGCCCTCTTGGGCCGTCCTGGGGCCGCCTTGCGCTGTCCTGGAGCTCTCTGTGTCCGCTGAGATGCCCTCTTGGCCGCATGGTGGATGTCTGAGGACTGTCGCGGGGCCGCCGAAGGGCCGTCTAAGGCCGTGTGTGGTCACACGGGAGGTTGCTGTGGGCCGTCCTGGGGCCGTTTGGAGTGTTTTTTGTTGGTGCCATAGTGGGTCGTGTTGGCTTCGGGAGCGCGAATCCGTCGAGTTTGCTTGCGCAGTGTCGCCTCGAGAGCGCGAACCTGCCGTATTGTACGAAGGGTTGTTGCCTCGGGGGCTCGAGCTTGCCGCATGGTATTCAAGATCATGGCCACAGGAATGCGAAGCTGTCGTCTGTTGCGAAGGATTGCTGCCTCGGGAGAGGGGGCGACGCGCGCGGGGCAGTGTAGGGGAGAGGGGTGGGGCCCTGGAAGACTACAGAAACCTTGGCAAGCAGCATCGGGCATTCTAGCACGCCTCAGCGTGTCAGAGGGCACGGTGGCGGATTGAGCAGTTGCGGATGAAAGGGAAAGTTGACACGGAGGGGTATCATCGCACAGAGATTGCGAAGGAGACAGTAAAAGGGGAAGACATGATGTGGCTTGCAACATAGATGGAGAAGAGACGAGGATGCGCTCCCTCTTAGCACGTCTGTTGCACCGTGTTTGCATCCCGTCGAGTCCTCTATTTGGAGCGAGCGTTGGGAGACATTCGGGGACTGATATGGGAATACCAATAATTTTCCAAAGCATGGCCATCAGAACCAGCTGCCTGAAAACAGCACTTGTCGAGTCTTCAGCCACCCTGCTCACTCGCACTGGATGCACCCACTTCTCCTGTCAAAATGTGACTGGTACCCGTACCTTCTATCAACGACTGTTTTCCATGACGCATGTTGTTCGCGCAAGCAATCAGACAATGCGCACACGGTCGGGGAAGTGTGAATCCTGCTAGGTTTGTAGATTGCCATTTAGTATCTGGCACACGGTACATGATGCAAGTGCTTGACGCGGCATGTCGTAGCCTTCCGAGTGCCTACAACACTTGGTGATGATACTCTATATTGTTTCGCAGGTACGTCATCGTGGGCGCGGCCATAGCTGGGGCCATCCTGACGCCGTCCACGGACCCAGTCACGCAGCTGCTGCTCACAAGCGCGCTTTGTGTCCTCTATTTCACAGGCGCCGCGGGGCGTAAGGAGAGGAGGGTGAGGAGGCTTATGAGGAAGGGGATACCCAAGCTTGGCGTCGTGGAGATTTTGTTGGGGCCTTCCGGAGATCCCTTGTCCTGGCAGCGGCTGGATCCACCCCGAAATTTTGGTCAGAACGCATGATAATGAGGAGGAACACGAGGACGACGTCGACGACGACGACGACGACGACGACGACGACGACGACGACGACGACGACGACGACGACGGCGGCGGCGGCGGCGGCGGCGGTGCCTACGACGACGACGACGACGACGACGACGACGACGACGACGACGACGACGACGACGACGACGACGACGGCGACGGCGACGGCGACGGCGACGGCGACGGCGACGGCGACGGCGACAGCGACGACGGCGACGACGGCGGCGGCGACGACGACGACAACGACGGCGACGACGGCAACGACGACGATGATGACGACGACGAACGACGGAAACGACGGAAACGACGACGTCAACGAGGACAAGGACGAGAAAGACAAGAGGGAGGTGGCAGTATTACGACGGCGACAACACCAACGACGACGACGATGCCGACGAGGGGCGGGGCCTGACGCAGCGCGCCGTTCAGGTGCGGGGACACTCCAGCTCATGGGCCGATGAGAGCCATTTCGCGCACCCTGCGCGGCCAGCCAGCAGTGTGGCCGACGCGGGCTGGCATATGTTGGCGGCGCGTACCAGGGGGTGGCGCGGCTTTCTTATAAGGGGGCGGGGGTGCTATCGAGGAGCAACTAACCGTATAAGCACAAACTTTCGGAGCTCCGCGCAGACCGAAAGATTGTGTTTGCATCATGGTTTGCTCCTCTATTTTTAGAAGGCGGGCGGCCTCTTAGAAGGCATGGGCCTTCTTGGAGGCGCCTGGAGGCTTCTGACAAGCCGCCCGCTTTCTCAGAAGCCCCCCCCCCTTGCTTCTTAGACGGCCGCCCTTCATGTGCGCGCCGCTAAGTGTGACGGGCTCCTCTCCCCTACCTTCTCCAGCCTTCCTCACCCTTTTTCCATCTTATTCCCACCCCTTCCTCCTCCTCCTCCTCCTCCTCCTCCTCCTCCTCCTCCTCCTCGTGCTCCTGCTCCTCCTACTCCTCCTCCTCCTCCTCCTCCGGTGCGGATCGCTAGTGCGCCTCGTTTGCTTCGTCGGCGTCGGCGTGGTCGTGGTGCGTGTTGTGCTGTTCGGGATTGATTTCCCCTGCTGCAGTGACCCCCCGCCACCACCACCTCCCTCCTCCGAGGGCGGCGGGGCCGCCACCCTCTCTTCCCCCCTCCTCCCATCCCCCCCCCTCCTCCCTCGATGATCCTTGTCCCCCTCTTCCTCCTCCTCGTCTTCCTGTTTCTCCTCCTCCTCCTTCTCCTCCTCCTCCTCCTCCTACTCCTACTCCTACTCCTACTCGCCCTCCTCCTTCGCCTCCTACTCCTTCTCGTCCTCCTCCTCCTCCTCTTCATCCTTCTCCCCCGTTCCCGCACTCATCTTCCTCCTCTTCCTCGTCCTCCTCCTCCTCTTCCCGCTTCTTGTCCTCCATCCCCCCTTCCCCAGCCATTTCGCAGTCGAGAGTGTTATTTGTCACGTCGAGCTGTCGGTACCAGTGCGCCCATCAGCTCACAGAGCGATGTACCTGCGTGTCCCAAGTTTCCTACGTGGGGCTGTAAGTGCGGAGAGGATGGGAGCTGGGCCAGCCTTGTCAACTGCCGAGGGTGTGGAGCGAAGGCACCGCAACGGATCCCCGCATCGGCAACAGAGACTGCTGCAAAGTTCCGTGGAGGTAACCAGTCTGGAGGAGGCCATCCCAGTGGAGGATGAGGTGGCCCTGACCAGGCCAAGGCAACTCGAGAGTTCAAGGCCGACGTTGCGGAGATGCGAGAGGCTGGAGAGGGGGATCAGGGAGCAGCGAGCACGCCCCTTCCAAGCCGCTGCAGCCGTCTACATGTGATCTCTCGTATGCTGAAGTTCTCATGTTCTTCAAGAGCCACCATGTGGATGCCGCAGCCGTTGCCACTGTGGAAGCCGCCAAGGTTCGAGAAGCAGAGAGCAAGGCACCCTCGGCCACTGCTGCACTGCATCGCGTGGATAATGCGAGGCGCAAAATCGAGAGGCTGGTGGCTCGCACCAAGGCTTACAGGGTGCAGCGCAACGAGATCGCCGCAGCCATGTCCGAGGCCGACAACACCCTCGCCGACGCGAAGGTCGAGCTCGAGCGGCACCGCCAGATGCAGCATCGCGTCCAGTTGGGGCAGGCTCCTGACCCAGTGGCCGTCGGCCTTGCAGGGCTGGACTCCGCCGTCACCGACTGCCAGGAGGGCAAGGACGCTTCGGCTGTCTTGCAGCGCCTGCACAGCGAGGCCAGGGCGCCGGCGGCCGCGGCGCAGCACGGTGCAGCGGGCCCTGCGCAGCCTGGCGGGGCGGACTCTGCTCCTGAGGGCGCTGGCGATGGTGATGGCGACTCTGCCGGGGGCGCTGCCGAAGAGCCCCCAGACGTCCTCATGGACCCCCCCAGTCTGGCCTCAAGCGGGCGATGGAAGAGCTGGACGCGCAGGCTGCCGTCGCCAAGCACCTCGCCGAATACGGGGCCATGTGGCAGCGGCTGCGTTGATGGAGGAGCAGTTGTCTTGCGCCCCCCGCGGGCCAGCTGGCCGCCGCCGAGTGCAGCGCGCCTTCGTCCTGCAGGGGCTGCAGCCGCGCGTCCGAGGATCGGCGCGGCGGACCTCGACCAGTTTCGGCAGACGAACGTTGAGGACGGAGCCTGGGAGGGGCCCCCCTGCGTTGCGCCTGCCCGCCGTGAGATCGTGGCCGGCCCCCCGCGGGCGGCCAGAGACGCGCGCCCCGCCGGCCTGGGGGGGCGCGAGGGCCCGAGGACAGGCGCGGCAGACCCGCCGGCCTCATGGGCATCCCTGGGCCCAGGCGACGCAAGCCCAACGGGGCCCCCCCACCGCGGGGCCTGGTCGGACGACCAGCCAACGCCTGCGCCTGCAGCAGCCCACCCGAGGGTCGCGGGAGCCGGGGTCAGCGGCGTCCTCGGGGATCCGACCGAGGACTTCCCCCCCAGATCGCGGCGCAAATGGCGGGGAGGCGCCACCGCCGGCGGGGGGCCGCCGGGGGGCGCTGCCCAGCGTTGCGGCGACAGCAAGGCTCTCGGCGATGGGGGACACGGCGCTCCTCTGGACCAGGGGCAGGAGCGAGCCAGAGCGCCCTCCCCCCCAGGTGGCCAGGGATGCGCTTTTCCTTGGACTGGCTCCGAGGACATGCCAAACTTGGGATCTGACCACACGGCAACACCCATGGAACCCCGACTGCCGGAGCCGAAACTCAAGCGACGAGGCAAACGGCAACGTACTTCTCGGCGCAGAGCGCCTGTTAGGGAAGAATACGCCCAACGCGCTCCAGCCACCATCATGAACAGCCCCCAGGCCGAGGGCCTGGAAACCCCATGCTGGATCATCGAGGAGGCCCTTCCCAAGGGCCAGCGCCTGCAGCAGGCGGCATCCACTGACAGCGACTCCATTGCGAACGATGTCGAACTAGATCCCGGCGACCACGCCGAGCTGGATGCATCTTTCAACAAAGGCGTCACACATCTTACCAGGACGCGGCGGCGCGCGGACGGCCGAGCACAGAAATCCGGCAAAAGACGAAGAAGTTCAAGGCGATGGAGCGCAGACGTCGCAGCGAGCACATATTGCAAGTTGCAATGTTTAAGGACCGCAAGAACATGCAGGGCATCAAATCAAGGCGGAAGAAAACTCTCGTTGTCCAGCCGAAAAGATCCCCATGGGCATTCGTATACGCGTCGAGCTGCAACTGCAAGTGCGTTCGCTGATTTCCACGGGGAACTCTAGGGCCCCACGCCCAGAGCCCCCCCCCCCCAGGACGCCTGGAACTCGCGCGCCCGCGATCACGGAGGAAGAACTGGACAGCGCCGTCTCCAGGCAGAAGAAAGGCAAAGCCAAATACATGACAGGCGTTGTTGAGGAAATCATACAGCGCGGTGGTTCTGCCGCGAAAACAGTCGTCTTTGACCTGCACAACGAAATTATCAAGTCGGTGCCAGCGCCACCAGCATAATGGAAACACACATGCAGGGCCGCTTTATTCAAGGACGGCGCCCCACACATACCAGCGAAATACAGGGGCGATATCAAGCATGCCAGTCCTCTAGAAATTATTTGCGCGCCTCTTCTGCCAACGCTTGGAAACTGTCCTGGGCCCCCAGCGGCCCATGATCACGCAGGAGTCCAGAGGGGCCCCACTGCGACCGACCATTGTTCACAGCAGCACTCTTGCAAGAGACAAGAGAAGAAGTCAAACCAGCCTTTTGACACGCAGCGCTGGACTTCAAGAAGGTTTTCAACACGGTCGAAAACAATGTGCTGCGGGACGCACTGCGGGAGCAGCGCGTGTTCGAAGAGCACGTGGACTTGTTCGCGTCTCTGCATTCCGAACTGACCTGGCAAGTCTGAACAGACACAATGCGCAGAAGACTTCACATTGCGAGGGGCACAGGGCATGGTGACCCACTCAGGTCGCTGCATGTCAACACCGTGCTCGAACATGTTTTGCTGCCGTGCGATTCCCAGTGGCCACGAAAACGGCACGGCGTCGAATTAGACCCTCTTCTGAAAAATTGCTCACATACCTACGTCTTGCAGACGACGCACCGTTGATCGCAGCCGCCCACAGACAAGTCCGGCAGACGCTTTCCGACGACGTGAAAACAGAGGCGAATAACGTGGGACAGGTCATTCACCCTGACATGACGAAGAGATATTAAGCAGTGCCACAGAAGGCACTGGCAGACCCAAAACCGATCTTGCGCATCGAAATTATCCCGCGGGGCGCCTCCACCAAATACCTCGGCAAGGACTTCACGTGCCATGATCAGCAGAACGGGGAGCTAGCAAACACGATGAAAGGCACGGGCAAAGTTCGCGATGCAAAGACAGGGACTAACACACATATTATTACATCTGGCCGGCTACGGTTACTTGACAGCACGGTTATCCCAAACCTTCCATACGGTTGCGGGTCTCGGACGACGTCGAAAGACCAGGGGACAAGCATCTCCCGTGCACTGCGGCGCATGTCACGACAGGACCGAGCGAAGACGCACGCGGCGGACAATGGCACAGATGGCGACGACGTCGACAGCTTTCCCGTGTCCAGTGATGAACAGAAATCACACATGCCAGCATCAGTGGAGCAAGAGCCTCGGAACGATTTTATCCTGAGGGTAACGCACGAAGTGGAATTGCACCTTGAACGAGTTAAAAAAATTGACCGTTGGGTTCTTCTGTCGAGACGCCAAAAGAGGCGGCGGGCGCTTAGATTAAGAAAGCGCGCCACTGGATGACCCTGCAATTGAAAATAGGCGGCGCGCTGGCAGACCCCCCCCCCTCCCCTCCCTTCAAAGGGGGGTGGGATTTTCGAACCTCGTCCCCTCCCCTCCCTTAAGGGGGCGGGGGCGGTTCGGACCCCCCCCCTCCCCCCTCGGCGCTGGAAGGGGAGGGGGGGCGCCCCCCCCCCCCCCCTGCGCCGAAAAGGAGGCCGGGGAGAGGGGGAAGGGGCTTCTCCCGCTTTTCCTTTCTGCGCTTGCGAAGGTGGGTAGGGAGTGCGGAGT